TGCGTCCCCGCATCTTGCTGTGCGCCCCGCCAGCTCGCCCCACGCCGTCCGCGCCTCCCGCGCCCGCTGCGCCCTCGGAGTCTTTAGTGCGTCCTTCGCCCCCCACACGCCCGGGGGAAAGTTCCTACTCGTCAATTTCACACGTAATTTACAATAACCACCCAGATTCTTCGGCGTCGCCTAGGAGACGGCCGGGCGAAACAACAGCAGCCTCGTCTGAGATCAAAGCCCTGCAGCAGACCCGGAGGCTCCTGGCCAATGCCCGGGAGCGGACGCGCGTGCACACCATCAGCGCGGCCTTCGAGGCGCTCAGGAAGCAGGTACCTCTGGCGTCTCCGCACTGTAGCAAAAGAGATGGGTGGGTGCGGGGCCGGGGACTGTAGGCTGGATAAGGGGACGTTTAACCGGCGAGCTGTCCACACCCGGTCGATCCCGGAGCCCAGACGGATATGAGCAATCAGTGTCGGTTCACATCTTGGTTTGCTATGTGTGGTCTGGGTTGGAGATCTCTGGCCCCGGCCGGTTCCAGCTCCCACCACCCTGTCCCAGGGGGAACCCAGTATGGACGCTTGACTTCAGCCCTCAGAGTTCACTTTTAAGACAGCGAGTATTTGTCTGCCGGAATTCCTTGGGCCGGGTAGGGAACAGAACGAAGAGAGGAAATGTGGGAATCTGTGTAGGGCAGGGGAGGGGAGGACGAGCCTGCTCCTCTGGGCGTTTGGCGTGGTTGGGGTCTTGGCCCTCTGTTGGTGGCAGCGAGGAGAGCACTGGGAAGGTGCAGCCCTGTGGTTGTTTGTGATTAAGGGACATTGAGCCTCTCATCTTGCCTCTGGACTCTGCACCCCTAGCCTGGGGCCTTGAGAACCCGGCCTACCCAGCCTGTGGCCCTTCCCCAAGGGCAGCTTCTGGAGTGGCCCGTGGGAAGCTCCCAGATCCCTCCTCTTCGGGTGAAGCAGGCTGCTGGTGGTGGAGGTTTCCTTCCGGAGATCTTCAGAGCTAATTCGGGGGTGAGTTGGGGGCTTCTCATTCTTGAGCTAGTGGGGCTGCCTTCCCCCAGACAGTGGCCCTGCTGGGGTGGTGGAAGAATACTTAAGAATTACTGATGACAAAAGAGGACAGTTTACAGTTTTACTCTAGACAAGATTGGCACTGCCCTGGGGTTCTGAGCTTCTCATTTGCTTAGAAAGAAGGGGCATCTAGAAAGGGGTAAGTAAGCCCCCCACCCCAATCTTGGAGAGGGTGGCATGGCTGTGATGGTTTGATGGGTGAAGTGTTTTGCTTGCTGTGCAGCTGACTTGCTGTTTGACTCCCAGAAAGTTACTCAGCCCCTCTGGGCTTTAGCCAACCACACGATTTCAGAAAACACAATCTCCTTTTTGGAATCCACTCTCTTTCTCCTCCTGTAGGGAGGGGCAGTGGTGCTTGTGGGCATCTGGGCAAAGGACATTAAATACCTGGCAGAAAAGGGTCCTACAGCTTCTGAGTCAAAGTATCTTGCTTGAGTTTGGGAGAGCTGTTCGGTTAGTGAGATGGGGTAGGGGTCAGGTGGCTGTCACAAACCAGGTTGGGCCATTGCCTGCAGCCACAGCAGCTGGGCCCTGGGCAGGGCGCCCATTGGAGCCGTCAGTGCCACCCAGGACTGACAGCTCTGGGCCTGAATGCCTGGGTGGGACGGCAGCTTGTGAGGCGCCCTGCAGTCTGGTCCACAGGGTAGTAGGGCAGGGCGAGGTCTGGCCACCTGCTCACCTGGCCTCTGGGAAAGCCCCTTGATGAGGAGGCCCTGTGCCCACAGCCTCACAGCTGGTGAGAGTCAGGCAGGACTGGCAGCTGGGTCCTTGGATGGCCAGGGCAGCCCTTACTGCCCTCCAGCCAGCTGCCTCTTTGAGTACTGCCAGAGAGAATGTTGATGCTTTCTAAGTGTCTGCCACATGTCATTTTCCCCATGGCTTCTGCTTCTTTCAACAATAAATTCCCTCTTTTGGATCTTGTCAACATCCTGTTAGGCCTGGATGAACCCATTTCGTAGAATGCAAAACTGAGGCTTAGAGAAGGAAGGGATTTGTCCAAGATGATCCAGTGGCCCAGGGATAATGACGGCGCACTGGAATGCACCCTCTGACCAGATGCTTCCCATAATGGCATCTGGGTCATTGTCCTGGGTGCCCTCCCCACGCTGACCTGCAGTGTTTGCAGTTAACCCAGGCTGGGAGGTGCCCTCTGTGGACTCCGAGATGACATTGTTAGTCTTGGTCTCCTTTTGCTTCTGCTCCTCTGTGAAGAGTTCTCTTTGAACGGCCAAGCTCAGTGAGTGTGAGTAGGAGCGAGGCCAGGCCCTCTCAGGGAGGGCCACACACACCTGTGTGCACACGTGTTCCTTACACGTGCCCAAGGATACCCAAACACAGCCCGGAGCGCCTGCTCTCATTCCTCCCTCCTTGCTCTGATTGTTCCCTCCCTAGAAAGACTGTTAAGACTGAAGAGACACCAGCCTCTTGTCTGAGAAGGACAGAATATAACCAGGGCTCTTTTGGCTACACCTGCCAGGTCTCTATCACCATAGCGCCACCTGATAGTCCCTCCTAGCACCTCGGTCTCCCTCCTAGAAAACCCATCCACCACCCTGCCTGATCCAGACAAGGAGCTCGGCCCTGCTGTGTGAGACAGACCAGACCATCCACAAGGGGGAAGGCAGGAGGCAGCTCTGTCTGAACAGGGCCATAGCTGAAAGGGCTGGGGACTCCTTTCCCCCAGCAACTTCCTGATTTAATGAAAAGAGCACTGGCTTGGGAGTCCAGAGGTTCCCTTTGAATCATGTCTCTGCTGTGAGCTTCCTGTGTGGCTTTTCCTGTCTGGGCCTTAGTTGCCAAAGTGGTACTGATGCTTACTGTGCACACAGCTTTGCTGCAAAGAGTGAACAAGTCAGGAAGGGGCACTCAGAGGAAGAACATTCCTAAAGCATCAACAAGGTAAGGTCCTCAGGGCTGGGCAAGGACCTGGACAGATGCCGCGGTCAGAATCTATAGTCATTCTAGCAGGAACTAGGGTCGATCAGATGCTTGCTTCAGACCAGGCGACGAGCTGAGCACGAGCTGAGCATGCTGTGTGCGCCAGTTCATGTAACGAATGGTGTTGCTGTCGTCTCTCCCCCACCCCTTCTCACTTCACACTTGGGGCCCTTAGGAGAGCTTGTGTGAGTCTGCTGAGTCTTCACAGCCTTGTGCTACCATAGGCGGCCTCACGGGTTCTGAGCCATAACCACTTGGGTGCGGTGGTGCCTCAGTGGCCTGCAGACTGAGTGCCGCTGTCCCCACAGAGCCTGCGTTGGGTGAGTTAGTGAGACACTCCAGTGCCCCGGCTCTCAGCAGCTGTGCTTCTCAACCTGTCTGGGGCTCAGGTGCCGTCCCCTTCCAAAATGTGGGCACCTGCCAGGCTCCTGTTTTGTCATATCCACTGTGCTCTGGACTAGGAGGGAGCAGGAGGCGGGCTGTGTGGCTGCAGGTGTGGGCGAGGCATCTGGGCTGGGGGTAGAGAGTGTGCAGGGCAGATGGTCACGCCGCAGCACATGCCACTGGCCCAGCTGCACCAGGGCCCTCCCCACTGCCTCATGTGAAGGCCATGTGTGTACAGCTGGGCTGGCCATGCACAGGCTGCTCCCCGCCAGGTGGGAGGAGTCCAGGGAAAGGCTCGCCTTGGGAGGGGGAGAGCCCAGCCTGGGGGCCTCGGGCTCCTGGCAGGACCTTATGGATCTTCAGCTGTGCTCACCCTTGGGCATCTGGCCTACCACGGATTTTCTGTGTCCCCCAGAGCCCCTCAGTGATGATAGAGGACTGGCAGTAGATAAGGGCAGCGAAGGACCTCAGAGGCTGCCTCTACATGAAGTGGGGACATAGTAAGTGGGCCCATGTCATCTCCACTGACGTCCCTGGACTCTCCTAGAGGTGCCATGACTAGAGAACTCAGGGTGCTTCCAGGGGGACAGGGATAGTGGCCCCAGCTCAGCACCTCACTCACTTCCATATCCCCCGGGGTGAAAGAGGGACACAAGGGACCCGCAGCAGTCTGTGCACATCCCCTCAGGCCATGGGGGATGGGTTTTCTTAAACTGGGGACTCCACACAGGTAGGAGAGGTGAGGGTGACAGAGGGCTGTCTCCTACCCCAATGTCACAGTTACTGGGGTGGCTTCCTGGGTCCTGTTTTTCCTATCTGTATGACTGCCTTTCCGTTTTACAGTAGAGGACACTCACAGAGAGATGTCACAAGTTGCTCAAGGTTACACAGTGACCAGGATCTGTCCCCAGGCCTGTGTGGCCCTGGGGCTGTGGCTCTGTAGCTAGTGGCTGGGTCTTGTGGCTTTGTGGCTGTGTAGACCTTGATAGGGACCTTGAAAAGCTTGGGTAGAGTGGCTTCGCCCTGAGAATCTTGTACTCATGGGCACTCACAAGACGATTAGAGAATAGTTTCAGATAGAATGCAATGCCCTTGGAGCCCCGTGGGCCCGGAAATCTTGGTGGGCTTCCAGGAGGGCATCTGGGGTGGCACTGAAGAGCAGGCCAGGGCTGGCACAGACGGAGATGTCTTTGAGATCTCCCTCTCATTCTCTGGTAGGTTCTAGGCTTTGTTTTTCTGTGGTGTTTTCTCCGACTTGCCCACTGGGATCCTATTTGGAAGCAGGAGTTGTTCTGCTGCCCATTTTATTGGTAAGGAAACTGAGGTGTTGTATAGTTAGGGTCCTGCCTAAGGTCAGAAGGATGGCCAGCGGTACAGCCAGACTCTCGTGATTCCGCCTCCTCCTTGGGCCAGAGTCCTCTGTCTGGGGTAAGAGATGACAGCTGTGGGTCCTCTGCAGGCTGTGGGGTGGGTGGGGACCCCGGGCCTCCTTGTGGATGCTCAGAGAGATCATGCACACAGCCGGATCCCCTGGGATCATGAGCCCAGAAAACTCCACCCCCACCTCCCATGTGGCCACACAGCTTTAGGCAGCAGCTGCTCCACTGAGTCCCCAGGCAGTTTCTGTTGGCTAAATGAAGAGAGCCCTGCTAAGCCATGAGGGCCAAACCAGCTGAAACTAGGGAATTCCAACATGCCTGAGGGTCAAGGGCTTCTCCATAAAGTGGAAGTGATCATTTCTACCTGTCTAGGCTGCTTAAGGATGAATATCAGCAGTGTGTTTGAAACAGAACCTTCTGCCTGCGCGTCATACCAGGGGGCTTGGACCCAGAGTCTGGGGGCATCTCTGCTGCATGGACGCTGGCATGGCCTCTGGACGCAGTCCCTGCAGCTCAGGGATGGAGGTACACAGAAGAGGAAACTGACGCTCAGAGAGGTGAAAGCGTTTGTCCCAAACTCTGGCACTGGGAAGTGCCTGGGAATTCAGCAGTGCTTTTTGCCTCCCTTCACCTTCTAGAAGCAGAACAAGTCAGTAGATCCTCACCATGCAGGGCAGCCCTGGCCAGGTGCCTCTGAAGGACCTGGAGCGGCGCAGGTGCTCTGGGGACCCAGCCTCTGAGGACGGGAGAGACGAGCTCCCCAAAAGTGCCCTTGCTGTCTTCATACGTGGTAGTGGGAGCCAGAGAACCACGTGGCACATGTCTGGCTTGTGTGCAGTCAGATGAGCTTCTGGCTCCAGTCAGGTCTCAGGGGAGTAATCCAGGGCCCACTGTGTCACCTGTTTCCTCCAGCGCAGATGGGACATTCATTTTTATCTGGGGGAGGTTTTAAATGGGATAATACCACCTGTGAGCAGAGAGAGACACAGAGCGAGAGAGAGGTAGGCACTCAATCGATGCTTTTATGCTGCTTAGACCCAGCGCTTGGCAGAAGCATCAGGACAAAGTGACAAATCTGGGACAGAGATGGCCCAGAATTTGGCCTGAGGCTGCTGGGTCAGCCTTGGCCTCACCTGTTGCTCCACATATGGACAGCGACCCTGGGTCACACACACAGAGCTCCAGAGCTCCAGAGCTCCAGAGCTTGCTCCCAGAACCCAGCTGTTCAGAGCCCAGGTGCACCAGGGCTGGCTGCTTAAGGGAAACCCCCAGAGTGACCTCTGAGTGACACAGATCTGTGTGGTGCCCAGACCCCACCCCACTCCAAAGGGCAGGCATTACCTCCCCTGGGTGAGGCTCAGGCAGAAGTGCTGGGCCAGCCCCTGAGACCCCTTTCCCTGCCCCAGGACTGCCAGATCTTGTTTATTTGTTCAGGCTGATAAAGCAGGGTTTTCTGGACTCTGGCTAGGAGCAGGCAAAGCGCACTGTACTGCCAGCTTTTGTTGGATGGGTTTGGAGCTGCAGCCAGGCCTGGGACGGGGGGATGCAGGGCCCCTGGCTCTCTCTCTGTCACCTCCATCCCTCCCCCATGTTTCCTAGTCTCAGAGTCCCCGCCCAGGTGCAGAGTAGCAGGTACTGTGTCCTGGCTGCAGACCTCCTGCTTCACACCTCTCTCTGGAGCCACTCTTTGAGGCCTTCTGCTACACTGCGGTCACAATTTTGCTGACTTTTACCAGCCATGCTCTTCTGTGCAATAGGACAAAGAAACTGAGGCTCAGCAAAGTTTGGTCACTTGCCCAGGGTCTTACAGCTCAGCTGAGCTGGAGCCAGGAGTTGAACCTGGGTGACAGAAAGGCGTGTGTGCTTTGGCTCTGAATCCTCACAGAGATTAGAGATTTTTGAACCTGGTTCAAAACATCCTGGAGTCACCTGGTGACTGTAGAGGAGATCACCCATGTGTTCACTCATTTCCTATCCCACGCAGTCTCTCCAGGGCCTGCCGTGCTGAGCTGTGAGCACCCAGCTCACAGGGGCACTGACCACCAAAGGAATGGGGAGGCAGAGGGTGCCATCAGAGCACCATGAAGGACAGGCCACCCCCTTAGTGTAGGGCATACCTGGGAGGTCAGCAACAGCTTTAGAGAGAAAATCTTCTCTGATTGGGAACCACTGGCCTTGAAGAGTGGCTGGAGTGCTCGTGTGGGTGTGCTGTGTGGTCCTCACTCTGGGGGCAAACACTTTCGTGAGAGACATGGATGCTGCATGTAGACCCCAAGAGCATCAGAGAAGGGGAAGCCAGAGCCTTGGTTTTGGTGGCAGGGGAAGCTGTTGGCCACTGAGTGAACAGCACTCCAGAGGGTCGGGAGGTCCACGGGTTAGTGCCGTTCGGATGGATTCTGAGAAGTTTCTGTGTCACAACACCATGCTGTGTTCAAGTGTGCTGCAGTCTTCCTGCTTTCTGTACACGTGTGTGGTGGAGAGTTTGGAAATGAGAGGCTCCATCTCTTCGCCATGTAAATCCCTCTGCAGTTAGTGAGTGAATGGTTAGTTGGTGCTGAATGACTGGCAGATGTGTCGAGTCCAGCTGGGAATGGTGGCGCACACCTGTAATCCCAGCACTCGGGAGGCTGAGGCAGGAGGA